TTTCTTGCTCGTTTATCGGAATCAGGTGATTCAAACGCCTGGAGTTTCGTAACGAAACCGCCGTTCCGACTAACCAACTTTCACAGAGTTTTGCTACTGTGAAATTTTGACCTAATTTCAGATTTCTAAACCGAGTCGTTCTCTCTCGAGTTCCGATTTTCGATGCCTTATTTGATTCGATTCTTTTGCAACCAGGGTTCTTAAGTTGAACTCTCTGGTTAGATCTTTTATTCGAGATTTCCCTGTGCATTAGATGAGTACTTATTGTATGCTTGTTGTTTGTCTGCGTTAGATCACCCGGAGTGCGCCGCTTGTTACTTCGAATCTCTAGGTCACGCGGATCATCAGCAAGGCAAGTAACACTTGATCATATCTTTCCTACTACCCAGTTTTATTGCATTAGATCAAACCCTCAAACACTTGCATTGTTTAGGATCTAAATTAAATAGTGGGATTGAGAAGTAGAATTGAGGTAGTACCTATTACCTGTTACTTATGAAACCTTGGGAGTTACTTCTACGTTTGCTTATTATGCTATGCTATGCTAGTAGACGTGGATTGGGTGAGTGAATATCCATGACAGATGTGAGATTGTTAATTAATGGTTTATCTAAGGTGGCAACCTAAACACACATCTGGATGGATTGAGGCACCTGGTTTCCATCAGGACTTGCCTGTATTTCTTCGGACCGCCACCCAGGCTCTAAGGGATCATAAGATATTTCAAACTGGAAACTTCCGTGTGCAGCCACAAGCCAATTATGGGCTCTGGCGTAGTTGATTAAGTTGTGCGAACTCTTACGGGTAGGCTAGCTGATGTAGGGGATGTAGGTTGGTACGGTCTACCCACATGTAAGGTGCTAGCGCTTCTGAAAGACTATGTCTCGGTCATCCGTTTCTCAAACACCATGTAGTGCGAGAATCAAGCGGAGGCGATTGAGTCTTGTGGGGAAAAGTGCGCAAACCTCTGCAGAGTGTATAAACTAATCATGATTAGCCGTGTCCCCGGTTATGGACGTTTTTGAGTATCTGGTAATTGAATATCATGTGAATCTCAACATGATACCTCTAATAAAAGCTATTGGGTTTTAATGAGTACTTTTAATTGGGATTGAGGATGCTGTCAACCATTCTCAATGTTTAACAACCACCATGATAGTTAAACAAAATTATTCCTTTGATGTAGGAAAAAAATTGGCTTTTCGCAAAAATGTAACCATAGAGCCTTACCACCAGCCAAATATGCATGTAGTATAGGCTTATTGTTTCATTACTCTCTATGTGTTACATTGCCAGCATATTCCATGTGCTGACCCGTTTTCGGGCTGCAACTTTCATGTTGCAGACTTTTCAGTCGACGAGTAAGGAATTTAGGTCGTGGTTCTATACTCAGTGATGCCGATGGAGTTGATGGACTCACTTATCTTCCAAGCCTTCCGCTGTTATCGTTATTAGATGGCCTTAAGCCATATTTATTGTAATAAGTCCTCTTCTGGACAATCGATGTAATAAGTGTGTGATTGCTACTCTGCTATAAATCCTTCGAAGTACTGTGTGGTGTCAGCATTACTGATCCAGGGATGACACCTGAGCACAGAGACTTGATCCATTCGGGTCTGGTCGCTACATAACGACAACTATTCTTTTGTCATTTGCATCACGGTTTTGAAAATCTGGTCATTTGTGGACATACAACGTCACCTGTCTTCGTTAAGCACTCAAGTCCTCACTTCATTCAGATGACATTCATCCACACAACCAAGAGTTCAACGAATTGTTAAAAGCCCACTTCCAAAGTTGTTAAGGCTTGTAAACACTGACTTTTTTTGCTTTCGAATCAACGGCTTTATTCATTACTCATGGGGATTATAAGAGATGTCAATACAATCGTGAAAGAAAGGAGAAATATAGTTCAACCAAAGACACCTCCTTCTATCCCCATAGGCTTGTTTTGCACATCCCTGCGATGCGCCAAAACAAACCTATGAAAGCCTTTGCTCAAATCTGTGATTGCTCATATATACTTCCGTAGTGCCAAAAACGTCTTACATTATGAGGCGAAGGGAGTAATACTTTTTATAATATAAAAACACAAGTGAGAAAACAAACCACAAGCTGCTTGTACTTTTATGTGTGTTATATAAGCTGTAATTTCGCCAACTCAAAAAAAAAGTTGAAATTTCGCAAAAATAAAGAAAGATCAAGCTCATTGTAGGTGGAGGCAGTGCTTTGCGATGCGTGCGCGGCCATCTGGCCCGCCCGCAAATCGCCCTACCCCTCCCTTGTCCATAAATTCCAGTCTCCCACGCCGCCCCAATCTCGCCGCCCCGACTCGACGCGACTCCCAAGCCCAAATCCCCAAATCGCCCCTAAAACCCTAGCCGCCGCCATGGCCGCCTCCCCCACCGCCTCCGCCTCCGGCTCCGCGGCCGCGGCGGCGGCGGCCGCCTCCGAGGCCAACGACGGGCCCACGCTCTCCGTGGTCACCAAGCGCCTCCGCGCGCTGCGCAAGAAGCAGAACCGCATCGCGCAGATGGAGGAGGCCGTCGCCGCCGGCAAGACGCTCAACCAGGAGCAGAAGGAGGTGATGCGCTCCAAGCCCACCCTCGCCGCCGTCATCGACGAGCTCGAGCGCCTCCGCGCGCCGCTCGCCGTCGCCGTCGCTGAGGAGGTCTCCGTCGCCCCCGCCCCCGCCCCGGCCCCGGCCCCGGCCCCGGAGCCCTCCGGCTCGGATTCCTCCGTCCAGGACCTCCTCGCGCTCGTCTACTTCGGCACCCTCTTCGACGTCAAGCCGCAGAGCGACTTCATCGCCACCATGGTCGCCCGCGAGCATGAGCGGAGCAGCTGCATCACCTACGACTGCGTCGGGGACGACACTGTGGACCTGCTCGTGGAGGGCGACCTCGACGTCGTGTCCGCTGTGGCGGCCCTTGCCGCGGCTCGCCCTGCTTCCGCGGTGGGCGTCTCCCACCGCGACGCGCTCCAGGCCTGTGCCCACCATGCCCGCTTATGGCTCGCCCGCGCCGACGAGCCGATCCACCCTGGCTCCTCTGTTACTTGTGAGTGTTATTGATATGGTAGATTTGTTATCTGGTTTGGTTGGAAATTATTGCTGACTGAAAGCTGTGGCTTTTGGCTGTAGATGCTGCGGTGAGGGCTAAGCTGGACAGGATCATGGCATCAGACTACTACACAGCAGCTGCAGTTGGAGGAGGGAGCTATGGAGCTGAAGGTGTGCAGGCACAGGAGAGTATGACTGCCTCACCAGAGGCATCAGCAGTGGAGGAGAACCTAGCTGCTGAAGGTCACAAGGTTCGCAAACTGCATTTTTTGCGTAATTTAATTTATGCTTAGCATGGTGCAGTTATCATTGCCCTTAAACTGTGCTCTGATCTTTGTCAACGATTGGTCAATGATGTGCTCCTAGTATTATTATGATCAGCAATGCTGCTGTTGCTGCTGTTTGTGCCGATTCAGTAGTAATGATCAATATGGAAAACTGCAAGGTCTCTCCATTTGGGATGTAGATTATGCTGTTCCATATGGATGTTGTGCGCCGTTGCTTAGATGTAACAGAGAGTGCCTGTGCATTGGCGTTCTGGAAAAAACTGCTGAAGATAATAACTGAACCACTATGTGCTTTGTATAATATTATGTGTAGTGTCACCACTATCTAGAATTCATTGTTGTGGTCTTGCAATAGCATGATTGTTTATCTTGCAGCTGTTTCTTTTTTTCTTTGCGTGTCTAATTTTTCAGAGTCTACTTTGTTGTCCATTACTTAAAATGCTGGTTGAAAAACACTAATACCTGATGTAAAAACATTCTGAAAAAGGGTACACGTGTCTTGTTTGTAAATTTAACTAAAAAAACTGGCATTTCTGCAGCATGAGTGGAGAAACAAAGTTTAGCGCTCTGACAATATTTGTACCCTTTGTATAAAGCAAGTTTTGTGCTCATAAAGAATTGCATTTTAGAGACCTAGATTTGTTTCTTTTGCTCAGGCGCAAAAATATGTTTGTTTTTCCAATAAAAGCTACTGGAATCTGAATGGATCACACATTTGCACGTGTAATTTCACCTGAATTTTAAGACACTCAAATTATTTACTCCCTCCGCGTTATATTTCTTTACAGAGGGAGTATTTACTATCTACTGAAGAAGCACATGCTCCTGCATTCCATTTTACCTCTCTGTCATTCTTGCTTGTTGCATATCTACTGTATGATTATGACTTAGGACCAACATAACTTTGATAAAACAACTTAAAAGCTGAATATTCTTTGGGTCTGGTACTCTTTGGCATTCTAGCTGTGTACTTATGATATTGTTGCAGGATTACTTTCCTGAGGTGCAGATTCTCTTTCATAACTATAGGTCATTCATAATCTTTGTTGAGTCCTGAGGAATCTTCTTTGACTTCTATTTTAGGATTAAGCTGCAAGGTCCTAAGCCCTTTACAGTCTTTCTAGTTACAGAATCTACCCTTATTGTTCTTGCCAGTTTTGTTGCGCAAGCTTGATTATAGAGATGTTATTTACCCAGCATTAATATGATAAGTGTAGGCTCCAGCCTCTGGTGCTCGTCATAAAATCACTTACAATTTGAATATGTAGAAGACAAGGCTGCTGCTGTACCCACTCTTTTGTATGTGTACTCAAACTAAAGTTAGTGTCATTTTCCTAAATTTCTAAACTGATTTCTAACCTGTGAGTTCACTCTCACATTCCATTTTTTATAACAACCTAGACATTGTCCAGGCATCATCTGCTGCATGTTGCCTCAAGACATTATATTTACAAACTGTACAATGCCCATCCCCCACCTTTTAGTATTATGATTATTGGAACAAAAGCTAGACAGCAGTGCCATCAACTTACAACACCTTTGGTAATATCACAGTTCTTTGGTGTAGAGTACCATTAAGATGCACCTCCATACCTATGATAAATCAACAAGGTGGGATACGTTGAAATGGTGCATTCATAATTAAATAGTTCTCCTGGAGAAATCATGCTGTCTTGCACTTTTCAAACATCCAATCATGAATTTGGGTGAATGTTTAACTTTTGTGTGTTTTCCAGTCGCTGGAACTGTTTTTGTTTTGCGCCATATGATGAGAAACCTTATCCAACTCACGACGGTCATCTGAGACACTCAGTGTGTAATGGTGCATTCATATTTCACTGATGGCATTTCAGTATTTTTTAGTTCCTGGAGAGAATTGTGTTGATGCAAGTTTTAGGATAACCTGAACTCCTGAAACTTTCGTTCACATGTTTATTGGTAGAACTAATCATTAACGATCTTGGGTGGGAAAGTTAACATGTTAACATGCAAACTGTTTTTAAACAATATTGCGTTGTGCATGTGATGAGAAACCATTTGCAACTCACGATGGTCGTCTGAGACACTTTGTGTGTAATGGTGCATTCATATGTTCTCTGATGCCCCTTCTGTTTCTTCAGTTTGTATGTGATTTGGGCTCTCCTGTGGTTTTTATTTGTACGGAGTGCCTCAGCTTTGTTTGAGGGGTTGATTGCATTTGTTTTCCGTTCATATGTTTTCAGCTGTTGACTCGATATGTCCTTCTCATTCTGAGCGTGTCTATTTGTGTAAAAATAGCATTTTCCCTATGTTCTATTTTAAAACAAACTTGTAGTGTCATCTGCACTTGCACTGATTTCACTGAAGATTTGGGTGTTATTTGCCGGTGGCTGCCCAGTGAGCCATGCCAGTGTCATGATAGCTGGTGTATATAGATATATAGAGAACAAAATGTAGGTACATGTAACTGTTATTCTTGATGAGAGGGTCATATTTCCCAGAAGACTGGTTCTCCTGGCTAGCTGTACTCTGATTCCAGACTCCTTGTCTCTAGGTTCAATTGTATAATAAGTATAAAACAAATAATCAGCCACTATATTTTGTCCAGAAAAGCAAAAGAACCACTAATTTCCTGATACTAGCATATGGTGATCAGAGTCAGGACTTTGAGGGTGCACCTAAAGCGCTACCATGTGTGAAGTGTTTCTGCTTATGAGATTTAAAAAATATACTTTGCTAGATTTATTGTTTTTGTTAGTGTAAAGTGTTTCTACTGTTGCTTAGTTGTAATGGCTTGGTTATTATTCATTTTAGCTGAGCTATGATAGACTGAGCAAATACGTTTTGTAACTATCAGATGGTTGTTTATATTTGAATTTCACACGGTTTTATTGTTTGACATTTTGAGGGGTCAAGTATTTTGTTTGTCTACCTCTAAAAGTAGAAATGATTGAGCTTATATTGATCTTGTTGGTATGTTTACTTGTTGACAGGAGAAGGAAGACTCCCATGCTACGGAAATTTACAATGATCATCAGTCTGATTCAGCGGACGTGCAAAATGTGGTAAAGACCGATGACCTGTGGATTGTTTTTCTGTATATGATATATATATATATTTACAGGCTGATGCTAACATGCCAGTTTCAGGATCGTGAAGCCCCCGTGAACCCTCCCGAGGAATATCCCTCTGTTCAGGCAGAGCAGGAGAAGTTTGACATGGAAGAGCAAGATGAGAGGGATGCTGAGCCAAAAGAGCAGCAGTTCCAGCACCCTAGGCGGTCTCATCAGAACCAGCGGGGAGGTGGTCGTGGCAGGAGGGGGGCCTACCCCAATGGCCGTGGCGGGCGTGGAGGCGGCCGTGGCATGGGCGGCGGCTACCAGAATGGGCGTGGATACCAGGGTGGGGGTGGCGGATACCAGGGAGGCGGTGGCGGGTACCAGAATGGCCGGGGTGGCGGCGGCGGGTACTACAACAACAACGAAGAAGGGTACTACCAGCTGAGGAACTTCAACAACAGGGGCAGGGGCGGCCGGTCTGGCGGCGGCAACTCTTACTACAGCAACCAGGGAGGAGGCGGCGCGCAGGGAGGAGGCCACGCGTACGCCGAGAGGGTTGAGGGTTGTTGAATTATTTTGCTTGGGTGGAGGTCACGAGAGGAAGAGAGTCTGGGAGCCATTTTGTTATTATAGAACTAACTTAGCCTGTTATTACGTCGCAATCCGTCCCCCATCTGTGAGTTGGTTTTGTTGGTCCAATCCAATGACTGCATATGGTTGGTCGATAAATGTGGAATCTTGGTCGAAAGTAGCTGCAGGTCATGTTTGTTGGTTCCCTTGTTGCTTCCTTTTCCGGATGTGTGAGTGTGTTTCTGACTCTTCACTCGTTCGATGTGTCGTGGCAACGAGCACAGATTGAAAAGAAAACGTAGCACAACACTGGAGTTCTCTATGATCCGTTGAACTTTTTCTTGAAAAAGTGCTAGTACTGAGTTCACCTTGTGTTGATTCCTTTTCTGAAGTATGCAATCAAACATGATCAAATTGCACTCATGTAAAAGATTAAACAGGGTATAACTAACATTGTATCTGGGGTCAAAGATATGTATAGTTCAGGCTATATTGTCCTCGTAAATTGTTTTTGCTTTGCCTAAGTTAACCAGAATTATTTCTTGGCCAAACTTTTTATACGACTAAAATACCCTCCTCAGATTTTCAGGAGGCTGATCCTGAGTTGTCATTCACGCACGAAATAAAACAATCACTTGAAAACTAGTAATAAAAACAGGAAAAATACAGAGGAACGACGAGCGACTTGCACTACATGGGCCGGCCAGCTTGAGCGTTCCCTATGGTAATGCTGCTCGAACAACGAACTGTCATCTCCACCAGGTTTCTTCTCAGCAACAGATCTTGGAGAAAAGAGGATGCGAGGGGTGAGGGGAAGGCAACACTTGCATCCATTGTGGTGTCAGGTGTTGGCAAGTGTAAAAACTGCCAGAACCTAGCTTGAAAGACTATTTTGCTAGCATGAAACTACATGGGGAGGAGGAGGACGATCTGGATTTCCTAGAGGAAGTAGAAGTTCTCCCCAACGATGTGAGGCGGTTAGGGCTGTTTCGCGTCCATACACCATGCTTACATTTTGTCACGCCTGCAGATGACGATCTGCAGCGGACTGCAAATGCAGTTCAGTTAACTGCTGTTAACTGAACCGCAACCGTGGTGTGTCGTGTATGGGCCGGAGGCCATGTGTGTGTGTTGGGTCGTGGCCCAAGGTGAGCCCAGTGGGAACAGCTACTTATTGTATGGTGATGGAATGCGTGAGGCAGCAAGTGATTAGAATCGAATCTTCCTTTCCCCTTCGTCAAGTTCTCTCCTCCTCCTCCCCTGTTCTTCTCACCTACCGATCCAATCTCGATCCCCTCTCCCCCTCCTTCTCCCTCGGGTCATGACAATTTGGTAATCAGAGCCTAGATTTTTTTTCCCACCACCTCACGCCGCCGCGACTCTCATACCCTCTCGATCGCCGGTAACATCCACCGAGGCAGGTGCAGCCGCTCCGGCGAGTTTGCACGAAATCCTGCTCGGGGTTCAACCGATTTGGAGCGAGACCACGGCGCCGTCCAAGCCCTCGGCGCAGACTCGCCGCGTCCTCGACGCGATGTCGGAGACCACGGACAAGCTGCAGAACTTGCTGGAGTCGGTCATCCGTCGCCTCGATGCGAATCAGAAAACGGCCGACGAGCGACACCAAGCGCATCTCTCCTACAACGAGTAGGTCTCCACCGAGCTCAAGCACCTCTCCAAGCAAATCGATCTCACCCAGGCTGATGTGGATGAGGCGCGCAAGGCCGCACCGACGGTCGACCCCTCCGCCGCGCCTCACACCGCCCTGTCACCCTCGGGAATTTCAGCGACGGCGGGCTCCTCTACACCACCACCACCACCACCACCTCCGCCGACTCGCCCCGCTCCTCCCCCACTCTATACGGAGGGAGCGGCTCAGCTTCCCTATGCGCGGCTGGTCAACCACGGGCCACCTCTGCTGCTTCAGCCCTCTCCGACGGCCCCGGATCGGGAATGCGGGACAGATCTCTACACCAAACCACCGAAGCACGATTTTCCCCGGTTCGACGGTGACGCCCCACGCATCTGGCTCGAGCGCTGCATCTCCTACTTCGAGCTGTACCGAGTGCCGCCGCACAGTTGGGTCATCACGGCCTCGCTGTACATGGATGGTTTGGTAGCGATGTGGCTGCAGGCTCACCGTCAGAAACATTCAGGCTTATCGTGGGCGGCTTTCCGTACAGCCGTGGAAGAGGAATTTGGGCCAAAAGAGTTCGAAGCGCAAATGCATCAGTTGGTTCAGTTGCGGCAGACTGGGAGCGTGCAAGAGTATCGCCAGCAGTTCGAGACATCGATGTATCACTTGCTGTCTCTGGATCCGCACTTGAGCCCGCAGTTTTTCGTCTCTCAGTTCCTGCTGGGCCTCAAGGATGAACTCCGGCTAGGCGTCCATCTTCAGTCCCCCTCCAGTATCACTCGAGCAGCTCTGTTTGCAAGGATTCAGGAAGAGGAGTTGGAGCGACAACGTGCACAACGCTAAAGGATCATGCCAGTGGGTCGCCTACCTCCACAAGCATCTACAGCAGCCACCATTCCAGTCCGGACAGCAGCAGCGCAACCGCGCCCAGCGGACGATGATTTTGCTCAGGAACGGCAGCTACGAGAATTCCGAAGAGCTAATGGCTTGTGCTTCCGTTGTGGGGATAAGTACTCTCGCGAGCATGAGTGCAAACGCACGGGGCAGATTCTGATGATTGAAGTGGGTGAATTCGGAGAAACTCTGTCCGATGACACGGTGCACGCACTGCAACTGTTGGATGCTCCAATTCAACAAGAACCAGAATGCTGCTCTCTGAGCCAGCATGCCGTGTCCGGTGAGGAAGGGCCATCTACAATTCGCTTACGCGCTCAAGTCGGCGACCAGATCATGTTGCTGTTAGTCGACTCCGGGAGTTCCCACAGTTTCATTAGTGAAAACTTCACTGCCCGGATTGCTGCTAAGCAGGAAGATCTGCCTCCTGTGTCCGTTCGGGTGGCAAATGGACAACGACTGCTATGCAACAAAATGGTGCGCAAAATGGCCTGGCAAGTGCCTGGTCACACATTCCACACTGACCTTCGAGTGTTGCCACTGAGTGCCTACGATGGCGTACTGGGAATGGACTGGCTCTCTGCCCACAGCCCGATGTTGTGCCACTGGGAACTGAAGACGATTCAGTTTGACACTGGGGGCAAAACAGTGAAACTGCAAGGGGTGAAGAACACCAATAGGCCTCCAATTTCAGAGCTCGATGCTTATGAGCTTCACAGAATGGAAATGGCCAACGACATCTGGACAGCAGCTCTGGTCATCGTGGAGAAAACTGACGAACCACCATCTACACCTATCCCTGACAACATTCAGAAGGTTCTGCGCGAGTATCAAGATGTGTTTGCAGAACCAACCACCCTGCCTCCGCGTCGTCAGTATGATCACACCATCAACCTGGAACCGGGTATCACGCCAATCAACACAAAGCCGTATCGCTACTCGCCGGCGCAGAAGGATGAAATTGAACGGCAAGTTCAGGAGATGCTCGACTCGGGCCTCATCGCGCATAGCATGAGTCCCTATGGTGCGCCCGCGCTGCTTGTGAAAAAGAAGGATGGCAGCTGGCGTTTTTGCGTTGATTTTCAATGCCTGAACACAGCAACCGTGAAGAACAAATTTCCACTCCCTGTGGTTGATGAGCTGCTCGACGAATTGGCCGGGGCCAAGTACTTCTCCAAGATTGACTTGCGCGCGGGTTATCACCAAATCCGTATGAGGGAACAAGACGAGGAGAAAACAACGTTCAAGACTCATCACAGTCATTACCATTTTCGCGTCATGCCATTCAGATTGTGCAACGCGCCAGCCACATTCCAGTGCCTGATGAACACAGTCTTCGGCCGTTATGTCCGTAAGTTCATCATCATTTTCTTGGATGACATCTTGGTTTTCAGCTTCGACCTGCAGGAACACGAAGAACACCTGCGCCTCACCTTGGACCTTTTGCGTGAGCACCAGCTATTCGCCAAGGCCAGCAAGTGTTCGTTCGCGCAAACAAGCATCGAGTACCTTGGGCACGTGATCTCACAAGACGGCGTTGCCACAGATACAAGCAAGACCAGTGCTATGCAGGCCTGGCCCGTGCCCTCGACACCAACTGAGCTACGTGGATTCTTGGGATTGATAGGCTACTACCGCAAGTTCGTTCCTCACTATGGCATCATCGCCAAGCCTCTGACAGCTCCTCTTGAAGAAAGGGTTTGTCTGGAGCGACACGGCACAGCGAGCTTTTGACATGCTCAAGCAGGCAATGATGAGCACGCCGGTCTTGGCTCTCCCCAACTTCACACGCCCGTTCGCCATCGAAAGGGATGCATGCGACACGGGCGTGGGCGCGGTGCTCACCCAAGATGGCCACCCTGTCGCCTACCTCAGCAAGGCTCTTGGGGTGCGGAATCAGAAGCTCTCCACGTATGAAAAAGAATTCCTCGCCGTGATGATGGCCGTCGACAAGTGGCGACCGTACCTGCAACGTGCCCCGTTCGAGATCGTCACCGACCACAAAAGTTTGTGCGCACTGGGCGATCAGCAGCTGGTCACCGATCTGCAACGCAAGGCTATGGCAAAGATGGTGGGCCTCCAATTCTCCTTCCGTTACAAGAAAGGTGTCGACAACGGCGCCGCCGATGCACTATCTCGCGTTGGCCCTGCTGGAGCTCGACGCGCTGTCCATGTGCCAACCCCAGTGGCTGCAAGAGGTGGCGAACTCCTACGAGACTGACCCCGAGTCACAAGAGTTGCTCGCCAAGCTGGCAGTGGTGGGCGAGGACGATCAAGGCCGGGGACTGCAGAATGGAGTAATACGTCAGCGCGGCCTCCTGTGGATCGGCGCCAACTCCGGGCTCCAGACCAAGCTCATCGCAGCGCTCCATCACAGCGCGGTGGGGGGCCATTCGGGAGCTACAACCACTTACCACAGAGTGCGCAAGCTCTTTGCCTGGCCCGGCCTCAAGCGCGCCGTGGAAGACTT